GTGTAGTTGACCGTCAACTAGTCGTCAACTAGGCGTTAACTAGTCGTCAAGTGATAATGCGAAAACAGTTGTCCACTAGGAGTTAACATCTTTTTTGAAAAGCGTTCGACTGATTTGTATAAAACGGCCAGTTGACCATTAGTTGAATGCTAATACTTTGAAATTTCAAGCAAAACAAGAGTTGACCACTAGTTAGGCCTTTCAACTGCCGCTAAAGGTCAGTGTTATGAACGATAACTCACTGCTGAAACTTCTTTAGAGCAGGCTCGGGGTACATGTATCTAACTGTTTACACGCAGGGCAGTTTTTAGCATTTCCAAAGTGTTTCTTTGCTCTCAGTAGAATCCAGTGGTTTTAAAATTTAGCACCAATGTTAAACTTATTTACTGTATCGTTGCGGACACCGGTTTACTGCATATAATTAAAATTTTTAATTAAAATAAAAAGTGAAATCTACCCTCCTTCTCAGTTCTATCCTTATTAAATTTTTATACTTGGTCGTTCCCTTTCGTGCTTAGTAACACAAATAAGATGATCAATTGTTACATTTACTTGTAAAAATATATGTATTTACACAAGAAGCGAAAAAGCGCGAACACAAAAAACATGACATTAAATTTTCTTGTTCATAATAATCTTCAAAGAGAGGTAAAACTATTGAATATATTCTATTTCCCATTCATTTGACCCTGTTATTTCAGGTATAGTGAAGGCATTCTCTTTCTCTTGGTCAAAACTTTTTGTGTACAAAACAATGTAAGGAACCCTTTTGTGTATATATAACAATACCAATGCTGAAGCAGCCTATATGTCATTCCTATAAACGATAACTCACAAATCAGCACTAAGTTGGTCGTTTTTCACACCTGAGTTACCTGTCCTTAAACACAACATCGGAAAAGTCAATTATAAATAATTAAACCTTTTAATGATGTAATTAAAAGTATGCATAAGTTATTATCTTTTTTGATAATTTCATGTACCTATAAATCTATCTATACAATGTTTTTTACCATATGTGCAACTTGAAAAATTAGTTGAAAGGCCTACACTAGTAGAACACTCCGACTTGTTAGAAAATTTCTCGCACGCTACATTTATGTTGGGTTCAAAATTACATTATCCTACATCGGGTTTATTATACCATAATTACAACAATCAAGAATTGAATCAGTATATGTGTGTTTTCTGTAGAAGGTGAGAATTTTAATTTGAAATATTATTGTGTTCGTGATGATTCAGCATGTGAAATATCCTATGTACTATTGTAAGTATAAAATTTAAAGATTTGTTTTACTAAATAAGCTTGTTATTTTTAAACAGATATTAGGAATACAAAAAAACTGTAGCCAGTATAGGTCCCAATTTTTGTGTACTTTTTTAAATATTGAAAGAATTCTGAAAACTGGTCATGCATCAAATGTTTTGTGTTTCTTGTTGTGTTGGTAAAAATATACCATTGTTTTAGACTAATTCTATTCATAATCTTTTCTGCACAGAAAATGAAGAAGGCATGTAACAACTTATGAGAGTGTCCCAGCTCAATTCATTTATAATGCATTTAGATTTACATGTACATTTATGTAAATCAAGAAAATCCATTGTTTTGACTTTTCATATTTTCAAGAACACTGCTTGACTAATTTAAGATTTCGAATCTCCCTCCATTTTTTCAACTAATGCATGCAACCTATGTGCACTGACTAATGGAGTATTCAACTAGCAGTCAACTGCAAAGGAAATAGTTTAGTTTAAGAAGTATTTTATTCATAATATACAAAGTGTACAATATGAATAAGGATTGAACAGCAGGCCAAGGGCTATATTAGTTCTCTCCATTTTTTTTAGTTTAAGAAATATTTTATTCATAATATACATATAATAAAAGAAATAGTGGAGTATTTAACTATAGCGGTCAACTGCAAAGGAAACAGAGGGTTAATCAACTAGCGGTCAACTGTACAGGAAATAGTGGAGTATTCAACTAGCGGTCAACTGTAAAGTAAATAGAGGAGTAATCAACTAGCGGTCAACTGTAAAGGAATTAGAGAAGCATTCAACAGTGGTCAACTGTAAAGGAATTAGAGAAGCATTCAACAGTGGTCTACTCTATGCAAAGGAGTTGATCGCTCCCTCATTTGCATAGCAAAAATTCAACTAATGGTCAATTGACGGTCAGTTGACCGTCAACTAGTAGTCAACTGAATACTCCGATTGAGTTCTAATAGAATTTTTTTTTATATGGGCATGCATACTTGAGCTTACATGACGGGGAAATTGTCATAATTTTTACACATGGCAGGTAGATTTTTTGGGGGCGTTGTTGTTTAATTCAAGTGCTGGGATTGTTTTTATGCTCCATGTGCTGTTATGATGTTGAACATTTGAAAAATAGATATCCCTTTTCCTTTCGCTTGTCCAATATGCACATATTCAAACAATAGCGAAAAATTATATGTGAAACGCTCCCCGTACACGTCCGTAGACAGATTCAGAATTTATGAATCGTGTTTATATTTGACTGGCACAAGTGAAAGACAAGGATAAATTGAAGATGTTCTGCGTGATTATAAAAGAAAAGTATGTCCTCTAACTAATATTTTGCTGAGGGATCGTATGTTTATCCATTTTTGTACAAATTGCGATAAAGAAAATGGAAATGTCTTTCTTTTGTTGGTAAGTTGAATTTCTCGTTGAATATTTTCTAAAGAAGTGAAAATTAAACCTGCCCCCAGCACTTTTTATGTTCCAGAGATCACAATGAATTGATCTATGTAACAAACTTTGCACAATAATCCTGTTTTGCACTTGTGCCGAAGCGATTTTTGTGCAACATTTAAGAATATTTACATTTCATATATTTTTGGCATATAAAATGAATGGAAATCTATTGCATTCAAAACACCATAACACAGACAGGGTACCAAGAGGTTAAAACATGCGTTTTAGTTTGACGTCATAATCGTTGAACGCCGAGGAAGTGCAACGTCACAAGCGAAAATCAAAAAATCACGTTCAAATTGACCAGAAGCTGTTACGTTGGCTGATCCATAAAATGTAGCTTACACGAAGGATAATACATAGGTTTTTAAATATAAATCACATTTGCAGTTAAGGAAGAAATCTTTAAAAAATGTAAATATAAGCAATGAATCATTATTTTTTGAGTGATATAGTTTCATAACTGCAACGGTGTGTGCAAACAAATTTTCATAACGCGCTAACGCGCGTAATTCAATTTGTTTGCACACACCGTTGCAGTTATGAAACTATATCACTCAAAAAATAATGATTCATTGCTTAAATAGCATGAATGTCCGTCACGTGATCAACACAGTCAAGTGACATCACAGAAATGCTTTATTATAATACCTGATTAAACTGTTATCTCAATTTGACTGCAATTTCAAACAAGAATCAAATATTGAAATTAAAATCTAGCTCATGTATATTCTTAAGGCATTTTAAGCCTTCGGACAGCCTTATCATAACTGCGTCGGTCATTCGTGACAAAAATAATGCCATATAACAACAATAAGCTGGATATTTCATAACATAAGATTTGTACAGATCAAAAGATCACCTTCTAAAATACTCGGAAATTGCTGTTAGAATCCCGAGTTCAGCATGGTTTTACGAAAAATCTCGGTGCATATGTGTAAGATCTAAAACACAGGGTAAGGTTTCATGCAAATGTGTGTAATAATTATTTTACTTACAGGACATGTACAGTGGGATTCTAACAGCACTTTTTAGGCAAAATAGATGTTTTTCTACCATATTACTTACTCAAACAAGTTTTTAAACCCCGGGGCATTGTTGTTCTGTTGACTTTTTTTTTTATTAAGAAGCATTCTGCTATTAATAGATTAATCACATGATGCCCTGGTGGTGGCGCACATCATTGCGTTAGACCTTATGCAAGAGTTAATAAAAGTTTACATTTATAAGCGGTTTTGGTAAATTATCAAAATTAATTGTTTTTAAAAGTATAAATTTCCCGAGAAATTATTTATATGCTTCTTAAACATATCCGCGTATTAATTTTATATAGAGTAATTACAGTAGAGGTATGATAATGATAACTATGACACAATAGTGATCACTTTGAAAATTTTGATTTACTACAGTGATCATTTGGATATAAAAGTAAACACTTTGAAAACTTTGATTTATTAGTATCACTTTGACACTTTAATCTACTATTATTTACTATAGTTAACTATAGTATTTTTTCGTAGAGTTGTTCTCAATATCAGATTTTTAGAAATGATTGATTGATTGTATATTGTTTAACGTCCCTCTTAAAATTTTTCACTCATCTGGAGACGTCACCGATGCCGGTGAAGGGCTTCAAATTTAGAGCTATACCCGGCACTCAGGGCCATTGAGCAGTGAGGGTTCTTTATCATACCAATGCCTACCGTGACACGGGACCTACGTTTTTAAGGTTATATCCGAAAGACCCCTGACTTTCCTTTCTAGTGCCGAGCGCTTGGAGAAGGAACAAAACTATGTTTACGTCTTAGGTACTACGCGGCGCCGCGAAGGAGAATCGAACCCGGTCCTCTCGATCACGAAACGAACACTCTACCACTAGGGTACCGTGCCCGGTTCTGACTGAATATACTTATCTCTTGCCCCGATTAATCGATACAGTTAAAAGGCACATGACAACATCTCGCAAACAATAATATTCCAAACCCAACAATTTAGTTTGTATGTTAGACATTTCACGTTGTTTCTCGTGACGTCATGCAACAAATGAGATAAGCGATTTATAAATGATCTACTTTTCAATTAAATTGGTAAATTACAACAACGATGGATATTGGTGGCAAAAAATATCAAAACCATAGAAAGCCATTTATTCTGCTCTAAAGACTGATAACAATGAATAAATTCCAAAAAAAAAATATTATAAACACAATGTACTTTACCTAAAAACTAATTGATAAGATTGTAAGTCAGATTCAGCAGATTTTATAATCATTATGCTTTAGTTTTTTTCTTTCAGAACAAAATATGCCCTGAGAAATAACACCAATCACCAACTACGTATTGTCCATATCCCATGTAGGTTCTAATCCAGACCTCCTGATTGGCCTTCATTTGCACGATTGCCGAAGATGAACATAGATTACTATTCACTTTGCTAATATCTGTACAATAGTTGGCACCCATAATTGTCCCTTCTTTTACTAACTGAGTAATGAAATACTTATTCATATATGCCACTGTAGTCCAATCAAAATGATATATTCCGTCGATAGGTGCTGTGAACTTGCCATTTTTTGTATTGTATGCGTTGCCCTCATTCAAAAGCGTCTCCTCATATATAACTACTTGGTAACCTCCCAGATTTCTTTTTGAAGACGTCATCTTTGCATGGAAGGCCACAGTCGGTTTTAGATGTTTTGATCCTAAAGACACAAAATATATTTATGTACTTTAAATACGAAAAAAAAACATTTACCTTTAATTTTTTAGTCTGAAGACTAAGAAGTTTAATTGGTGTGGCCTTAAGTTTTGGGAAAAACAGTTTAGTCTCAGTGCTCAATATCATCTAATTCTTTTTTAAAAAGTTTATTATCGAGGAATTTAAACAACTGTACCTATAAATACTCATGCAACAAATATTATTTACAATGACATCTGTTTGATTTGCATATTACAAATCAATGATTGCGGACTTCAATTACTTCCCTTGTATCTTAATTTGCTCTATATTTTCATAAATATTACATGCAGACTTTATGTTTGATGCAAGAAATCATTGAAATCGAGGACTACTAAATATTCAGTTTCTTTTGTGGGAAGAGTTTTTAAAGATTTCTTTCCTACTTCATATGTGTTCTCAACACCACTTGGCTTGAATGATGTACATGTAAACAACATTTCTTGTTCAATATCACTGTGGTATACTTGTATCACTTGTTATACACTGTAAGGGATAGGGATAGTAAAAAACCAATTTATTAAGACAAAACGATTCATCTATCCTTCTGTATTCAATAATTCAGAAGTGAAAAAGAATTACATTACAGATTATGATTATTTGTCAGATGATGAACAATATTCAAAGGAAATGTAACTTTAAAAATAATTCTAGGCTTCCTAGAAAAAAAATATTGCAAAATGTATGAATATATTTACCTTGTATTTCAAGTGAACGATTCACCCTTTCATAGATTTCTTCACCCTTTTCTGCAAGTAGTTCAGTGACATTGTTTAGCAATTGACCTAAATTGTCATCTTTAAGCCTGTGATTTTCAATTATAATTCCTTTCATGTCATTTTGTAGGTTTTCCGTAATGGATTCGAAACCTTTCAAATTATTCTTCATATCGACAACTTCTCTCATGAGCTCCCGAACATTTTTCTCTAAAGACATTCTAATGATTGTTTCTTGATTTAGCAGTTGCTGCAGAACATCCACGCGTTTTGTTGAAGCAGTTGTTATGTCCTTTCCGTCATCAGCTTTGTCTGATAAAATTGACAGCCCGTTTATTTGGATAACCAGGAAAGAAATCAATTGAAAACGAAGACATTTTTGTCTCATGCTGACTACTTTAAGTGTATTTATAGGAATGAGAAAGATGTATAATGCTCAAACCATGGCTGTCTTATATTTATATCAGATGGTTTGTTTGAGGGAACGTCTGATTCCAATAATAAAATTGACGGATTGTTTGTACTGCATTCAAAGCTTTCAACCACAGTTTATTGCAAGAACAGGGTAGTTTTTTGATCAGCAATTTGACTGAATTCTTTAAAAATAATCTCTGCACTAAACAAATGATTATTTAATCATTTTTTTACCGAACAATATTGCTGTAATAATCCGAAGTCTTCTCAAAGTTTGAATCAATTATGTTGTTCGTGCGTAAACATTATCAGGATAAACCTCATTTACTACATTTTATGCGTATCAAACTTAATTAGCTAGAAAGAATTTCCAACCAACCTTGCCTAATTGATCAAGAGTTTCAAAAATATGTCACATGAAAACATAACATAGAATTGCGATCTGCCGTACAGTTTAGTATTCTAAGAATATTGAAAAGTATTCTTACCAGCAAGTAAAATCTTTTAAGCGCTCTTGAATACATGTATATTGAAGTACAATTTGCCAAAAAAAGTTATTAATAAATAAGATATTTCACTGGCAACGCTTAAGCAATAAAAATATATTTTCTGATAACGATAAACTAGGTATCTATTGTCTTATTTAATTTTACATGTTTGATACGATTGTCTTTAACAACCCAATTAGCTTCTACTAATCACATGACAACTGTTGTTTAACCAAAAGAAAATTTTGCTCGAAAAACATTCCATTCATTCCCCTTTCCATCACCATTATTTCTAATCCTGTAATTTTACATATACTTTTGTCCATATTTATTTGGCGTTCATTTTGTATTTTCGCACATTTGTTTTGATGGTTTATGATTACTTGTAGAATATTTAATTTTAGTGGGTCAGCTCGCATAATTTACATTTTTTTTTTACCAGTTTTTAGCCTCTTTGGACACCTACTCATGTGTTCTTTTTTGGTTTATGTGCTTGGATAAATGACATCTTTAAACTTTCAATAATGCTGCTATTTTCTTTTAAATCATCAACAAACTAGTTCAGTTGTATTGGCTTCGGTCTGCAATGATGATAAAGGAACATAAATAATATAATTTTATATATGAATTTCATTATATATGTACATCATGAATTTCTAATCTGGTAACCTTCATTAATCATACTTATTAATAACCAAAGATGTACTTTCGTTGCTCAACGTACAAGAAATACTTGTGAATCAGGAGATAGCATTTAGTATATTGCTTATCTCTATCTATGTTTCAATAAAATAAAAACAGTTAACAATTATTATTGCTTAACAATCTCAATGTGTCTAACAATTTAAAAAAAATCACAATTTGATATAATATCAAATTGTGATTTTTTTGTAAAAGTTCGCAGCATTGTTAAGGCTTGAATAAGGGGGCGGAGCCTAATTTATACGGGAAAAGTATACTATGACGTCACACAAAAATATGACATTTATGTAGTTCTCATAATACGTGTAAATGAAATAATCTACAACGCTGAACAGTATCAACATAATAAACAACATTATAACTTATCAATGCATTAAAAAAAGTTGCTAGTTAAATCCCTTGTAGCTGGTTAAAAACTAAGCACTCATCCCGATAAACTTGTTAACATGACGTCATACTGGTAAAAATGACGTACTTCGAGTGCTGTGTGTGGCAAAGTGAGAAATTGTTTATCAATGAAAAATGTGTTTTATTATTAAACGGAATATTATTTACAGATTTTTTATAGTTGGTAAATACCAAGGTATAGCCTTTGTTTAGTGCGTTTGTTAATTAACTACAAAGAAAATGTACTTTATTAATAAAAACGTGTTTAATGTACAGGTTACGTATATTTTATATCGAGGTGCCTCATAAAATCGTACTTTCGCAAGGGCATACACTGCATAGATCTGAACCATTTTTAAAATATAGATAAAGAATATATTCCTTAACTTGAAAAGTGCTGCTGCTTTCTTTAAATCGAGGCCATTATTTTATGAGTACACAAAATATTTGGTAAAATTCTAACATATTTTGACATTGGCCTATTTACTTAATTTTTTTTATATAAAAACACGATTTCTATTTAAAGCAGCAGCACTTTTCAGAAACTACAAAATACACAGAAACTATTAAAAGCTTGAATTTTTAATTTCAATTAGGGTATGCCCTTGCGATATTGAAATTTGTTATTGACCTACATTCTGTGTACCTGCTATGCGTTCATCACGTGACTGTCCATCGATGGGACCAAACTCTACACAGTAAAGTGTATGTTTTACTATCCTCTTTCCATAAGTATTTAAGTTCTGTGATAACAGAATTGCTGAATAAAAATAAATTCAATTTTAAAAACTCTCCCTTTTTTGCACTTTTATTTTCCGTTGATTTCTCATAGTAAGCCTTAACAGTGCTGCGTTGGTCTAAAACGATGTGTCAAATATACAAGAAGCCCATGGGCCTTTTAGGTCACCTGAGCATTATGCAACAACTTTCCAGTGACTGAATTTGATTCATGTTTTAAGCCAGATGCTATGGCATTCACAATTTTGAAAGAGGCACCATTGGTCATTATAACAATACACTTAGCAGCTGCTTAGTTTGGTTACTGAATACCCAAAGACAGGGTAGAGAAGCAAAAAATGCATGTCAACTAATCAGTAGTGCCCCTTTCACACATGCACTCCTGACCCTTAGGCCTAGATCCAAACATTGCACAAATTTTAAAAAGGCATCCTTGCTTTTCAAAAGTATTTGATTAATACCAAGGAGCAGATTTCAATTAATTCATTCATTTTAGTATATAAGTACCCCCCCCCCCCTTCCCGTCTACGGTACCCCTGAACTAGGGACCTTGAAATTCACAATTCTGGAAGATTAGGATCCTTGCTCATCATTACTATATAGGTATGTTCACCTGCTGAATACCTAGAAAGGAAAATTTTCAAAGAATTCATGTATTTTTACTATATATCAATAGAGCCCCGCCCTAACACCAGAAACCCGACCCTGGGGCCATAAAATTCACAATTTTGGTAGAGGCATTCTTGTTCATCATTACTATATACTTAGTTAGTTTATTTAATACTTAAAAGCAGGGGGAAAAAAATCAAAGAATCCATGTATTTTCATTATATAATCTATAGAGCCCCACCCTAACACCAGAACCCCTGATCCTGGGGCCAGAAGCAGAGAAAAAATCATAGAATCCATGTATTTTCACTATATAATCTATAGAGCTCGAACCTAACACCATAACCCCTGATCCTGGGGCCATAAAATTCACAATTTTGGTAGAGACGCTCTTGCTCATCATAACTATGCACTTAGTTAGTTTATTTAATACCTAGGAACAGAGAAGAAGATTTTCAAACAATTGATGTATTTTCACTAATATAATCTATAGAGCCCCACCTTAATAACGGTACCCCTGACCCTGGGGCCATAAAATTCACAATTTTGGTAGAGGCGCTCTTGCTTATCATAACTATGCACTTAGTTTATTCATTTAATACCTATGAGCAGAAAAGACGATTTTCAAACAATCCATGTATTTTCGAGTAATTCATGTATAAACGAGTTTTACTGTACAAGTAATAAGTTCTTTATTATAGAATCACTTAAACTACAAACCAAGCAGTATATATCGATCTGCCTTTCTTTGAAACACTTAGTTTATACATTGCCTGACAGATGTGCACAAAGAAAACGTTGTTTACATTCCTAGTTTAATTACGTACCTCAATGACATTCCTTTGACACAATTTGTGTTAATTGGTCATGTTAATCTTAAAGAATACGAGGGTTGTCCCAAAAAGTCGTAGACAATGTTTATGATTTTTTAATCCTGCAACCAATACTTACCAAATTTTGCAAAGACATAATATAGTCAATGTTCTTTAAATCTGTGAATTTTTAAATACATATCTTTCATATTAATAATTTAAGGATGATTTATATGAAAGCCGAAAAGGCCTGTCGGCGCACGGGCAAAATTCATAATAATTTACGCATATAACTATTACATTAGCTTTTATTTCTTCAGTACAATATAATACACTGAACTCAAATTTAAATCACTGAAACCAGAAGAAAAACTTAATATCATGTCAAAATTTCATGTAAATATCATTAGAAATAGATGATTGCTGTCATGATTTTCATAGTATCGTTGAAATTGAGTTTGATGAAAATGACGTCGTCAAACGCGTAGTCGGCGCACGGAGATGTAATAAATTGTGTTGGATATGGTTTATATACATCATAGACGGCAAAAAAGAGTAAAGAAGTGACATGACACACCAGGTTTTAATAATGAAGTTATTTTTAAATTGCACGATATTCAATTAGTTTTTCTTCTGTACCGAAAATAGTTAATTACGGCATGTTAGAAGTAGAATACTGTTTGCTAAACGCAGACAATTTGGAAAAATCTGGACAGCGATCGACGTCAAACAATTTATATTCTCTGTTGCCTACAATGTAAGGCGATTTTTCGACTAAATTTCGACTGAAATTGGATTCTGTTTAAAAAAAAACAAGTAAAAAACAAACGGACAGTAGTGAATTAAAATATGTCTGTTAATCAAGTGTGATCTTTCACTTAGAAAAATTATTTAATGTTAATACCCGCTTGTGAAGCAGACAAAGAGATCATGACGTTATAACAGACGTAATTTACGCTTGCTTTCGTGCGCCGGTGTACACTTATAGTCTTTCTCTATTTTTTCATAATTTTCTTATAAGATGTGATATCATCATGAAACTTGAAGTGCATGATCATAAAATGTTACTCTTTGCTATGACAAGGAAAGAAATTTAAAAAAGCAAAGAGAAACAAAACTGTTTTACCTGTCTACGACTTTTTGGGACAACCCTCGTAAATATTGTTTTGTCTCATAGATAAAAAAGAAAATAAATCACATTATATTAAGAATTAATACTTCCAGAACTAAACGTACATGTAGTTTAAAGACAGGCAA